CACGTGAACAGACATTCTCTTTCAACGGCCGGAGCTACTTTTTCTCGTTCAACACGCTCCACTAGGCAAAGCTATCACCACGTGATGGGAATGGTGGATCTGAAGTGCCGCCGCTGGTCGCTGTGGTGGCGGTGGCCGCGGGGTATCCCATACCCAGAGCAAGGTCATCCTCCTCCTCCGCATAGAACGTTATCAGCTCGCTGTCGTCGCGGCCGACCAGGTCCGGCGTCACCAGCTGGTTGCCGTGGCGAAACGCACCCGGCTGTCCGACGTTGCCGGTCTGGATTTTATTAATGCATGCACACACACACACGCACGCACGCACGCACACACACACACACACACACACACGCACACACACACATACACACACAAGTAGTATAATTATATTGACCATAGCGCATGACCTTCAGTTCCGTTGCTGTGCGTGCGTGCGTGCGCTAGCAAAACAAAGCGGGAAACACATCGTGTAAGAGACTTACGTTAGTGCGCGAGTAAGACGGTCTTTCCAAAGCCTGCGGCGGCTGCTGCTGCTCCTTGTCATTGCTGCCGGGCTTGTAAGCTTGGTACTTGCCGGGCCAGTAACCACCGGCAACATGATCATCATCTGTGTGGTCTCTCTCTGCCATCATGAACTCCAAGCGCGCACGCTCGTCGTCGTCTGGTTATACAGGGCGATAGAGATAGATAGATAGATAGGGAGAGAGAGAGAGAGAGAGAGAGAGAGAGAGAGAGAGAGAGAGAGAGAGAGAGAGAGAGAGAGAGAGAGATAGAGAGAGAGATAAATAGAGAGAGAGAGATAGATGGATAGAGAGAGAGAGAGAGAGAGAGAGAGAGAGAGAGAGAGAGAGAGATATAAATAGAGAGAGAGAGATAGATGGAGAGAGAGAGAGAGAGAGAGAGAGAGAGAGAGAGAGAGAGAGAGAGAGAGAGAGAGAGAGAGAGAGAGAGAGAGAGAGATGGATGGAGTGATTTTCAGTACAGTGACGCTTCAGCACATGCAATTCTTTCTACTTCGGAGTTGCACACACATCAAGACAGCAACAGAGCAGGGTTCTAGCCAGGTCAATCTAGTAGGGGGGGGGGGGGGACAGTTACCCCGTAACCCATTTTTCCATTTTCAAAATAACTGTCTTGCAATGTAAAATGCAACGTACGGGGGCAAACCTCTGACTTCACGCCAGACAAGTGTGCCTTTATCAGTTTATGACCCCTCTCTGCTAGTAACTATCGGCTGCATTTTCATTGAATTACCTGAAAAAAACACAAAAATCGAAAAATAAGTAGGCAGGGGGGGGGGGGGGGCGCTGTGCCCCCTACCCTTCTTTCGCTAGAGCCCTGACAGAGCATAGTCATGTTGACACTGACCTAGTCGCTGTGCCATCTCCACATCATCACTGTCATCGTCCAGCAGTGCAGCCGTGGAGCTTGCCACTGCCTCATCCAGGCTGGGGCAGGGCAGACGCAACACTCGGTCAAGGATATCTAACAGCTGTAAACTTCTTACTGTAAAAGCAGACATTTTCGCCTTTTTTCGGTGGTGTAGTATTTTCGGTATTCTCCAAAATCGGCGGTTCGGCGGAGGGAAATTTTCGGTAAAACCCGTTCTCCATGGAAGTGTACTAGTACTACATGTATACAGTACCGGTTGTCGTCCTTGTTGCTATGTTTTATAGTTTCATACAGTTGAACATCGATTATCCGACCACCTCTGGGCAGACAACTGTCAGGCGGTGTTCAGATAAGGCAAATGTTCTGGATAAGAAAAAAACTGTCACTTTCAGTGGTTATTACTAGCCGCACGACCTTTTTACTTTTTACTTTTCAAAATTTTCGTATTTTTTGAATGGCTCACTACATGCACAGTGCGTACTCTACGGCACGTGCGCCCAAAAAAACTGTTACGGATAATCGAATGGTCGGATAGTCGATGGTCGGATAATCGATGTTCAACTGTAGTACTACTGTAAAACCAGACATGTTCTGTAACTTCGGTGCCGACAAGTTTGATACGTTACAACGATTTGCTTATCATTACGGCATATGGCTGGGTCGGATACTCTTCGAGGAAACTAAGTGCTCCGTTGAATAATGCTACTTCTGTTGAGTAACGAAAAGGATTCCGTACGCCAGACACAACGGACAACGGGCATGCGTAGGACACTTCTATGCACACATTACCAGAACTGCTCGCCACGAGCTCTAACCATGACCTTCTTAGGGCGCGTTCAGACTACCGATAAAAAGTGACGGAATGGAAAAGTTGCCAAGGTGATTTGATCACGTGACGTTACTGGCAAGTTACCGGCGGAAAAGTTTTACTGCCGCGGCTGCTGCGGCAGTAAAAATGTCCGGCAGTAAAAAAGTGCTCCGGCTGCATGCGCGCTGGGAAAAAAGGGAAAATCCCTTGTCAGTGCCACGGTGAGAGCTGAAAACTTCACGGTAGCGTTAGTTTGATATCGGTAGTGTGAATGTCCTTCACGGTTTATCGGCATTCACGGTTTAACGGGATTCACGGTAGTCTGAACGCGCCCTTATAGAACTCATTGCTCACAGTTGCGCCCTTATAGAACTCATTGCTGATAGAACTCATTGTTCACAGTTGCGCCCTTATAGAACTCATTGCTCACAGTTGCGCCCTTATAGAACTCATTGCTCACAGTTGCGCCCTTATTGAACTCATTGCTCACAGTTGCGCCCTTATAGAACTCATTGCTCACAGTTGCGCCCTTATAGAACTCAATGCTCACAGTTGCGCCCTTATAGAACTCATTGCTCACAGTTGCGCCCTTATAGAACTCATTGCTCACAGTTGCGCCCTTCACGGCTGTTTTTTGTGCGATTTCACACCACTTTACAATATGGCCGCCGAAAGTCTCGATTGGGCTTCAATGGCAAGAAAATTTGAATTTTCAAATCGCCAAAACCCAAGTAGGCCATGGTTTCCCGTGGATTTTGGTGACTGGTTAGCCCGGACAGCCTTGGGAACACGCTGATCACGTGCGTCTTGTTTCAAGCTTTCCGCTCGTACCTCACATGCCTGCCTTTCCTTCAAGAAACATTTGTTCAGCGTCGTGCAACTTTCGCTTCACTCTGAAGTACTCCTTGTGTCATCGCTGTCAAACTCGGCCCCGAGAAGTCTTTCCTGGATTTTTCCCAGGCTAGATGGCAATTTTCCCAGGTAGAGGACTATCCTCTGGTTGTCTTCCCTGAGTATCGTTGTTGTTCGCGCATGAACTTCTAAGTTCGCGAGGCGGGTCAGGAACCTGTTTTCTCTTGATTCGGAAGACAAATGGCGTGGCTCTTTAGTTGCTGTTGAGTCTAGAAGGCTGCTTCCTGCTGTAAATTGCTTAGTTGGCATGTGGGATAGTGTAGAAGAAGACAGCAGCCGGCCAAGTGAGCTGGAAATTGTGATATCTCTCCTATTGTGCGTTGAACGAGTACGAAATGTCCAATTTGAATATTGTACACGCGCGCACGCCAAGCAGAGGCCGATAATCACAGGGACGGTCGATCTCTGGACTACCAGGAGTAGTTTTGAGCAAGTTTGAAGCGGAGAGACAGCTAACTGGGCAGGCCAGGACGCCTTTCCACCCTTCTTCTCTCTCAAATTACCTAAAAGTCGAGTATCTCGCTCGAGCGTTTTCAAAACATTTCTCTTGGATTCGCTTCCCAAATCGTAAAACCACGCGAGTAGCGACATGAGTTTCTTCCAAAAACGCAAACTCATCCCGTATTTGCACGATTCGTACAATTTTACATAAATCGCACCGAACGACGCCATATTTATAAGTGGCTGTGCTGGAACAGCCGTGCCTTATAGAACTCATTGCTCACAGTTGCGCCCTTATAGAACTCATTGCTCACAGTTGCGCCCTTATAGAACTCATTGCTCACAGTTGCGCCCTTATAGAACTCATTGCTCACAGTTGCGCCCTTATAAGAACTCATTGCTCACAGTTGCGCCCTTATAGAACTCATTGCTCACAGTTGCGCCCTTATAAGAACTCATTGCTCACAGTTGCGCCCTTATAGAACTCATTGCTCACAGTTGCGCCCTTATAGAACTCATTGCCCACAGTTGCGCCCTTATAGAACTCATTGCTCACAGTTGCGCCCTTATAGAACTCATTGCTCACAGTTGCGCCCTTATAGAACTCATTGCTCACAGTTGCGCCCTTATAAGAACTCATTGCTCACAGTTGCGCCCTTATAGAACTCATTGCTCACAGTTGCGCCCTTATAGAACTCATTGCTCACAGTTGCGCCCTTATAAGAACTCATTGCTCACAGTTGCGCCCTTATAGAACTCATTGCTCACAGTTGCGCCCTTATAGAACTCATTGCTTACAGTTGCGCCCTTATAGAACTCATTGCTCACAGTTGCGCCCTTATAAGAACTCATTGCTCACAGTTGCGCCCTTATAGAACTCATTGCTCACAGTTGCGCCCTTATAGAACTCATTGCTCACAGTTGCGCCCTTATAGAACTCATTGCTCACAGTTGCGCCCTTATAAGAACTCATTGCTCACAGTTGCGCCCTTATAGAACTCATTGCTCACAGTTGCGCCCTTATAGAACTCATTGCTCACAGTTGCGCCAAGAGTCCATAACCCCCCAGAGTGTGCAACTCGTGATCCTTCTCAGCACAAATCAGTGCCGCAACGAAATCCAAACTTCATACGTCATGTAGTGAGTAGCTATGACGAAATGGGAAGTTTGGCCCGGACCTACTTCGCCCGTTTGCCCAATTTGGGGTCTTTCTTTACGAATCCACGGCCAGGTATTGTACGTAACACGCCTGGAAAGGCTCAAGTACACAAAGAATTATTTTAGAGTTGTCGAACAGTTTTCTCTTTTGAGTGTCTCTCCGATAAGAGAAGAACAATGGCCACTGTTGAACCTACAGCAAAGCGCTCCCCATTGTCGCCGGAGTGCAGTGTCTCTGTGGACGATATTCGTCAGTTTTTGCTCGATCTGGGCTCCTCATTTTCTTCTCTCGATTGTCGAGTGTTGGAAATCGATCGGGTCTTCATGCCGTGTGCCAAGAGCTATTTCCATCAAATCTTGTAAATCTATATCCATGCCTATTCTTGCTATCCCGGAGTCACGAACTCTCCCAATACAAGCTTTTCAGACAACGAGCAGAGAAACTCTCTTCAAATAAAAAAATTCTGTGACTGTGAAATCAAAGCCGTTCTGCTGACACTGCATAGCCCGTGGAGCAAACGTTTTACGTGACACTTCCGTACCCGTGGCTTGCTTCAATACAACCTTCAACTTACTTGGAACCCCCGGCGGATGTACCAGATATGCACATGGCCCCATCCACCCATGCTTGCCCGGGGACCGGATGACGCAATGTTTGGATTTCGTTGCGCCAGACCCCAACCTGGAGTTGCACACTCTGGGGGGTTATGGACTCTTGGTTGCGCCCTTATAGAACTCATTGCTCACAGTTGCGCCCTTATAGAACTCATTGCTCACAGTTGCGCCCTTATAGAACTCATTGCTCACAGTTGCGCCCTTATAGAACTCATTGCTCAGAGTGGTAAGTTCACTGGACTGGACTTGTCAATAATTAGTACTTGTCAATAATTAGTACTTGTCAATAATTAGTACTTGTCAATAATTAGTACTTGTCAATAATTAGTACTTGTCAATAATTAGTATCTGACATTGCCATTCACCTGTGTTATACACTTGCCTTTCATCATTCAAGGGTGTTTTTTTCCGCCCAATCCTTTCTCCCAGAAGCAAACGCTGGGTTTCTGTACACCGTGCAACCAGCGGCGGATCCAGAGATTTCTAAGGGGGGGGGGGGGGGGGGTTCCAGTATAGTCACAACTGAATAGCTGCTACATGTACATGGACCTACATATGGTTGCCAGTAGTACATTTACGGAATTTAGGGGGTTCCCCTGGAACCCTCCTGGATGCGCCCCTGTGTAACTATTCAGCGTGATTAGCATGAATAACAGCAATAATAACAGAGAAACAACACGCAATGGGGTAGGATACTTCATCCGGTGTCGTTGCCGTCTCTGGAACTTCTTAGCCAGCTGCAGGAACAGCTGGCGGGTGGCTGCAGGAAGAGAGCGGCACGATCGTAAGCAACACACACACACACAATACACACACAAACACACACAGGCACACACACGCACACACGTGGAAGAGTTAAAAATAACAACAGGAACTGGTAGGGATTCTACTTCCAGGCACAGTCAGACCTCACTTAACCGCACACATCCGTTTCCCATAATAATATCCAGATAAAAGAGGACCGGATAAGCGAGGTCTGACTGCACAAGTGCATACGAAGAGCTGAGATGCAAAACCCGACAAGAGCCAAATGAGAAAATCAGATTCTCAGATGCTCCGAGTTACGCACAATGCTCGGTCTCAACCTGCCCGGATTACTATTATTATTATTTTTAATTCGACACAATCCCTTCCTCAAGGTGTGCAGACTACACTGTAGCTACTTTATTCCTGAACTGATGGGTCTGGACCGATTTTATTTAATTAAAGCGAGGGTTCCTGGTTCGAGTCCTGGTGGTGACAGTCAATTTTTCCTTCAGTCTTTTCTCGGTTGCATCTTTCCCCCAAACCAGTGAAAATTATTTTTGGAAGAATTTTTGTCGCCGAGCCGAGAGACCGTTTTCGGGTAATGGTGTATAACTGTGGAACACAATACCTACGTAAGAAAAAAAACAAAGAAAGAAAGAGGAGAAAAGACACTGACGAATGTCTATCTGTAGAGTCTACAGCTATCCATTCGTCAGTGCCCAGGATTAAATTTAAAGGAAAGGATCAACATGTTACGTGTTATCAGTAGTTTGTGTGCAACACTGACAGCTATAAGCAAGATGTTATTTATCATCAGGTCGTTGAGTGTCAGTATCACATGAGTCAGTATTGTGCTAGCTATTGCACCTTCTGACTACACAACATCTTACAACATTTTACTTATAACTGTTAATGTTGGACACAAACTACGGATAACATGTCACATTTCGGTCCTTTCGTTTAGATTTAGTTGCATGATCATACATTACAATACGGAACATAATATAGCCCATTCGCAGTACGTACATTCTTTCATATTTCCCGAGAGCAGGCGATCGCGGAACTTCTCGGCGCTGATGGTGGCCTGGCGATGCAGAGTGTTGCCACGGGAACGGCGCCGCTCCTTGGGCACCTGCTCCGGCCGAGCGTCCTCGGACTCGTCCGGTGTGACACGGGCGCCGGCATTGTCCGGAGAGGGAGTGGTGGTTGCCGAGTGGCTGGATGTCGGTTGCTGCTGGTGGTCGGGCGAGGTGTCATTCCGAATCATGTACGGTACGGGTTTACGCGTGGAGTCGCGTCGATGTGGTGATACAGTGTTGCTTGGAGCTAACAGGATGTGAGTGTCTAGAAGGGGAGAGGGATGGGGAGGGGGAGGGGGGGGGGCAGAAGAAGAATGTGAGAGTATGTTCGCACTGGAGTGAGTTCAATACTTACACACGCAGCATGACCTACCCTACGTGTAGGTAGATACGTGAAACCTGACTCAACGCGAGCCAGGGCTACGTGCACACACCGTGTCCACGGATGCATGTTCGCAAGCACACACAAACACACACACACACACACACACACACACACACACACACACACACCCAAGGGCGCACATGCTAGGAATTACTCATGCACCACAAACACTACACAACAGCAGTGATATTTAGCCAAGAGTACAACAATTTTTTTCAATTCCCAGAGAGTGGCACATAGCGTGATGCATACCTTCAGTCTCTGCTTCCTCTGCATGCCATCAGTGTGTGACGGGAAGTGAGCGTAGAGGAAAAAAAATGAAACATACACACATGCATTTACCCACCGACACACACACGCGCACACACGCACATGCACACAAAAAATTCACAGCCAAACACACACACACACACACACACGCACACACACACACACACACACACACACACACACACACACACACACACAAACCAAGCACACGTATACGCGCACACATATAAGCACACGCATGACGAAACAAATTTCATCAGGCATACAGAATAACGTCCAGGGACAATACCGGAATCACACATTTCTTCAGTGCTGTAATGGGTATTCAGTTGTCCCTCTCTACTCCGGCCCCCTTTTGACACGGTGTTTTCTGCTTGACAAACAAGGGGGCTGGATTACCAAATCCTGCCCTCCAAATCAGCCTCTCCCAATTACAGCATCACTGAAGTCAACTGCATGTCTATACAGTGTATTGCACATTTAGGATACCGGTAATGATTATTATCATTATTTTTTTTGTTCTCTACAAAATCCACATATCTCCAGACACAAATAATGGAGTGTGGTGGTGGAGCCCATTAAGCTCCACCGACCAGAGGTCTCGGCTTCATAGCTCCATGGACGCACCAAATCAGACATCATGCCAGCATACAAGTGCATGATTGTACTGTAAACTGCCCAATGTTTGCGTCACTAAATTTGATGATCTGCTATATACTGTATGTCAAGAATTTAAAAAATATATTCTCCGCGTGTTTATTTTCGGATATTTTTGGCCTGGGCATTTCGGCCTAAAATTTGTGTGCGGCCGAAATTGTGTTTTGCAAGGTTTAGTGTGACAGTGTATACAGGCAGCAGCAGTACAGGTTGAATTTGTTTTAGCCCTGGGAGGCCGAAATTGGAGCGCGTCGAACATTTGTACTTGGTCCGGCTCATCGCAATTGTCGCTTATCTCACACGCACGTGTTGACAGGTAAAACCCAGTCCAATCGCGATATCTAACTTACTTTTGCTTGGGAGGTTGTGATGGCAAGATCAAAGGAGGCACCAAAGAAAAAACTCGGATCGCAACTAGCGCTTTGAATCGCGATGTGTTCGACTTTTTTGGGAAGTGGGAATCTGGCCATTCACTGATTGTGTTGACAAAAGCCAAGCCAAGCGAACCGAAGACCAGAACTGTGGCAACTGACATCCTGGAGAGTGTGACAGGCACGCTTGCACGGCAGAGGAGTAGGAGCGTCATGCTGAAGAAGAAGAAAGGTGCTTTCGATGGATGCCAGGGACGTTTTGGTTGTTCCTTAGTTGTGAGCTATGGCAGCTGTCTGGAGAGGCCTGTATGCCTCATTCCAAGGCTTTGTTGAAACACACTGTAGTGACACGCAGGTCACACTGCCCAGGTTCCTTCAAGCACCGGGAACCACCGAAGTGACAGCCACGACTGTTCCTTTCCCATTTCTGTCTTATGTCAGGCTGAGAAAGCAAGAGATACTCTTCGCCAGCATCTAGACACCAGCAAATGTCAGCTCAAGTATTACGAGTAATGCAGAGTAGAATGAACTCTGGACCTGTAAAAGCGTGAGTGCAAGAACGCACTTCCTGGCTGATTTATTTTTATACATTTGCTTGTAACCTTGCTTCCCGGGCCCTTCTTCGACTCGCTTCACCAGATTCCATTGCTGAAATTTTTTCCTTGTGGCGGAGAGTATTCATGTATCAACCCTACAGCCTCCCATTATAATGGAACTCCCTTCAATTTAGACTACGTCTTTGGGAAATCCTCAAATATATAAAATAATAATGTATCATGCTTGCTCACTATGTCTATTGAAAACTTCATCCCAATCACTCACCATTCTCCAGCAGTGACATGAAGTCACGGTTGTGCCGCAGCTCGTCCAGGAACTCGGCGTTCTGCAGCATCATGGCAATGCGCTCGTCCTCCTGCAGCTGCTGCTGGCTGGTGGAGGTAACCAGCGAGAGTAGCACACCGTCCTCGGTCATGGCCGTGCCTGCATGCGTGATCGGGCTGCAGTAGTGCGAGACAGGGGGATACAATTGGCAGAGGGACAATGAGCAGAGGGACAATGAGCAGAGGGACAGTGAGCAGGGGGACAATGAGCAGAGGGACAACAAGCACATGGACAATGAACAGAGGAACAATGAGCACAGGGACAATGAACCGCGGGACAATGAGTAGAGGGACGGTCAGAAATTCAGAATTGATCTTTATACTGGGTCCCTTTCACCTGACGCCCACCTATATCCTGTAGCCACTTACCTTGTTCCAGCTGGTAGCAGGCCTCTGCGCACACTATCACTGCGAGAGCGGCGCTGCGCAGAGCTAGCTTGGTTGCGCGACTGTGACTGCATGTTGCCGCCAGCCGTGCTCGCCGCCGACCCCGATGATGTCGTCGTCGTTGTTCTGCGCTCGGCAGAGCCACGACGTCGTCCCGCTGCCGATGATGATGATGTCACCGATGACATTGTCGGTGGCGGGGCTTGGTGCTGAGCGTCGTCGGCCAGCAGCTCTGCCAGGTTGTAGTGGTGCGGGCGGTGCTCGTGCTGCGACGAACGGCGCTCGGCGTGGGAATTGCGATGAGAACGACGCTGCTGTTGTTGCTGCTGTTGAGTGTCATTGAAGTGTCGTCGAGACGTGCCCCCGTCCAAGTGACGCACATCCTCCCGATGATGGTGATGCGATTGCCGTGACGATGACACGGCGGTCGACGACGTTGTGGGATCGGGCTCGGCGAGGCGCAGGAAGTCCTTGGGCAGGGGACCGACCAGCGGTGCCACAAGTCCGCTCGTGGACGTTCGGGCCGTGGCCACGCGCATGTGCGGCACCTGCGAGGTCGACTGCTCACGACCCTCCAGTGTCTGCGCGGGCGGAACCAGCTGCCGCGAGCGCACGTCCTTCGGCGGGAGAGGCGGTGGAGACGGCGACCGCGTTTCCCAATCCGACGTGGCCGACGACGGGAGATCTGGTGCCATGACGATGTCGGACGATCGCCGGCTTCGGCTGGCGTGCAGGGCTTGCCGTTCGGCCTGGCGCGCCTCCGCCAGCATCTCCTCCAGCTCTTGACGCGCCCGCGTGGCCGCCTCGAGTGTTTCGCTCGTTGCCGGCGTCGTGCTACTGGCCTGCTGCCGTCGGTGCTGCATGGTCGGAGACTGTCCTTGGCTGAACAGTGACGATGACTGCGCCGTGGAGAAGCCAGCGTCTAGGCCGTCTGTTGCGTCCCCTGTACCAGCGCTGCTAACGCCCCCGCCACTACCACTGTTCGTTGACATAGAGCACAGATGGTCGATGGTTGCCTCCACAGCGCCATCATTTGCACGCAGCACCGCCTCGATGATCTCTCCGTCGATCGTTGGGAACATCTCCTGGAAGTCGCGCATGGCGCTTTCAAACTCCAGCATCGGCTGCTGTTGCTGCCGTGGCTGCCCGCCTGAAGGATTGCTGCGCGCGTTTCGGCCACTACCTGTCTGCTGGTCAGGCGTTCCATGGTGCTGTGGCTGTTGCCTATGATGCTGCTGCTGCTGCTGCTGATGATGATGACTTTCTACAGTGTTATCCCGGCCAGCTGATCTGCTACCGTGCTGCCTGTGTGCAATCGACGCGTACGGAGGCGCTGGGTCCGACCTGCTCGGAGCTCCGCCAGCGTGTCGATGCGGCCGCGACGCGTCCGCTTCGAACTGGTCGTCCAGGCTCGGCGCTCCTTCCATCTGCATTTGACGACGACTCGTTCCGCCACCGACGGCACTTGTAGCGTCGTTCTGACTCTGAGCCCCTGGAGGCAGATGCTGCTGCGGTGACCTTACCGAGCGAGTGCGGTACTGGATCGTGCCCGACGGATCGCTACCGACCATGTACGTTCGATGCTGCGAGTTGGATCCAGTTCCGCTGGATGCCGTCCAGTCATCGCCACCATTCTCCAACATTTCACCGCCAACGAAAGCAAGCACAATGGAGTAGCCGCGGCGTGTCCACAGCCAAACCACGGGAGGGGAATAACAAGCGATGTCAACGTCGTTCCCTGCTGCCGCGTGCACGGTGTCGCACGGACAATGCACTTACGCACGCAAACAGCGCGTTCTTCTCCACGTATACAGCACACTCAGCATGCAGTGCAGGGCCTCAGCTCACGCACACAAAATAAAGCAAACACGCGACGGGAGAGCAAGGATTTCGGTGCGTACACGACCGGTTCCCCGCAGTCGATCTTGGTCACGCTGCAGCTGCGCTGACTCCTCGTTCACAACTAGGTACAATGCCGCGGAATCCAGGCACTCACCTGGTGGTAGTTCTAACGAGCATCGATTCAGTCTCTAGCGCCGCCACTTGCAGGAGTTGGCTGAACACCGAAACAAAAGTTTATTAGCTTCGTGCCGTTCTAATTTCACGTCTGAAAGAAGCAAGCAGAGCGAGCAGCAACTTCAACTTGACGAAAGCGAGTGCGAGTGACGACTTCAGTCAGTTCAGATCTACTTTGCTCTTGCGTGCGAGCTGGTGCGGTACCGTACCAGACACACTCTCAAAATACTTCAGTCAAATGACTACAATGCGCTCACTGCACTACAAAACTTCAAAAGCCAAGGGAAAAGGAAAGAAGTCATGACTTCATTTCAGCAGATCTCTAATCACTACGATCGAGTAGATCTACGAGTGGATCTACGAGTGGATCTACGACTGCCTCTACAGTATCACCATGATCACAGCTGACACCATGTACCAGTCCACAAAGACTAAAACTTGTAAAAAAGACTGTGCAGACAGTCGATCGACAGACAGACTGTCAGCGTGTCAGAGCAGTCGAGTCGTGAAGTCTACGTACATTCTTGTGCATCTCCCCTGTCCTTTGGCTTCCGCAGCTCAGCAGCCGGCCAGGCGCATGCATGCACCGGAGACCATGTAGACATACATGCTGTACATGTACCGCATGACTGACGTTCTTTTTTTGTGCTCCACATTATGTGTACAATGATTTAAATACCACAGACAGAATGTCTGCATGATGCTAAAATACCATGCTGTACAGTCTGTAGTCTTGCATGCGACCACCGACGACGACGGGCCGTCCGTTGTATGATAATCTGGACGACTGGAGTCGTGGAGATGGAAACGCGCGCATGATACCGTACACTGAACATCTTGCAGAATCCACCAGTAGTATTGCCATTTTATCACTCCCGTAGTATTTACTCCCATAGAGTTTTGCCATACCTAAGCAGTCAAAATTATATTCCTGCATATTTCACTCCTTAAGGGCTGTATTGACTGCTTATATTTGACTCCTTTTTAGGGATTGAACACATGCTTTGACTATGGTGATAAATCTAATAATATTGACTTTATACTTGGTCAGTATAGGAAATAAAAACCTCGTAAAATTCCAATATTGACCTCGTAGTCGTACTCAGTCAATATTAGATTCGTACATGGTCATTATACTGTACGTAACAATACAATCATTTACCGGTATGCCGGTCTGCGAAGACTTCAAGTCAATGGTCAATCACTCACCGGTGCTCGTGGCATGCAGTGAGTGTACAGTGTACAGTGTATGTGCAACACTGATGAGCAAAAGCAAAGCAAAGACAACACAACGAAAAACAAGCACCATGCAACATATCTATTCAATAATATGCGCTTCCGCCACTACAATGTGTAGTGCACTGCGAACCAACACTGGGGTAACCATGCCTGTTGCGCGAGCCACGCCGCGCCGACACAAAATGCAAGATCTCAACAATGCAAATGAAATTCGGCAACGGACGAATGACATGACCACTTAGTAGTAATAGTATGGCTCGTTATGCAGTTCTCATCTCAGATTGCATACTATCAATACCCTTATACATGATGTAACGAACCTAGAAGAGGCGGCACGGCTAAAACCTCCGGAGGCGGAGAGTCTAAGGAGGGTCTATTAGTATTATACAATTTACATGTAGGCAGGTGTCACCAGGTCACCATGCAGACTTCATGAATCATGTCCATGGACACTACAAAAAATGCTGGGCTGAGCAGATAAGATTCCCTACACGACTCGCGAGCTGCATAATCCTGCTGAGACCGACTGTAAAGGCTGTACGAGACTACGAGTGCTGGCTGCCGGCTGTACTGCCTTGTACTTGTAGTACTTGTAGGCGTACCGGTAGTGACTAGTGAAGAGGCTGTGGACCGCCTTGTCTGCACAGTGCTCAGCAGACGACAATAAGCTGGGCAGTGTCCGTGGGCATCGGTCGGCGAACCTGCGCTGCACTGACTGACCTGTCTGTTTCAACTAAGTTACTTTCAGACAGCAGAGTGCCTCTATGGACACTGCATGCGAGTGCGAGTCGACACTCGACAGAGTTCAGTGCAGAAATATCAGGAGCTTGAGTATGTCAGGTATGATCAGGGGCAAGCTGCAAAGGCCGCGATGGGCTGGCTATCTGGTTTTATCACAGTATCAGCGCTATCATAGTTGTCAGGGTTTGCAGACTGCCGGCGTCGGTGCGCAGTGTTCGATCACCGTCACGTTTTCAGCAGCGCGACTGTCTGCATAAACTATTTTTGCAACCACGGTCAGCATTTCTGGTTATTTCGGTCGGCCAGGTTGATTTGGGTGCAGATCCTCGGACTCATCTTGTAGACCTACAGGACTTGGTTCTGTACATGTAACTGGTTGTCAGCATGCGGCTTGATCTGGGACTCGTCACAACTGTCAAGCCGACCGCTCCGTCAAGGGACCCTGGCACCTGCATTTTGATATGTGGTCCAGCTGCACGTCTACCATTACCAGACCGCAGTATAATACACAGTCGGTGATGTTACTGATCTAACAGAGACTATCCTGAATGGAGTTGTCATTGTGTTAACTCAGCTTTTAGTCAGTCGGTAGAGCAAGAGAGTACAGTAAAGCCGGGGTAAAAGCCGTAATGGAGTTGCACCAGGGAGTCGTATTTGCGAGTCAATCTTAGTCGGCCCGGAAGGCCTCGTGTCGGCTCCCGGGTACATGTACATACGACTCCCTGAGTTGCACACTTATTCAGAGAGAGAGAGAGAGAGAGGGTACTCCTGCTAATAGTAATAGTTAGAATCTAGCAGGAAACTAATATGCAGGGAACTAATCTGTAGGAAACTAGAAAGGCAGTAGCTTTTATTGGGTTTGAACTGCACGTACATTTTTTTTTTTTTGTAAGTTAGCCTATAATGGTCAGGGGATACGTAGAGCAGAGAGAAGTAAGAAGAACGGTCAAACTACAAGGTACATGATTGTGTGGGAAGAAGAATGGGAAAGGTCGGGACATGGCACCTGTGCAACAGGAATACATTTTAGAGGAAGAATTGAATAGAAGGGTGTACAATACATCGTATACTTCGAAGTAGGGTTGCAAGAATACCAGGAAGACAACTGTTGCATCATGAATGGGACATTAATTTAGGATGTACGGTACAGCTGTTAGTGTATACATGTACATAATAGATTGTAGATAAATTCATGTACATGTACATGTATAGGGGCGGTTGAAAGTGAAATGCATCAAAAGATCTACAGTGTACTAGCTAAGATCAACCTAGTGACTAGTGTGTGGGAACAATACATGAATACTGTAAAAATTAATATACAAAATTTCGGCGCTGCGAAATTTCGGCACTTCACGATTTTTGACATTTTGGCGGCGATTTATTTTCGGCGTGGGGTAGAGGGCATGGTATAGTGCGACAGATGCTGTGAAAAATTTCATCGGCGTTTTAATTTAGGCGTTTTGGGTCGGTGCCGAATATAGCCGAAATTAAATAGCTGCCGATTTTTTTTATATTTACAGTACAGTGCGGAGTATAGCATTATTAGTGCATGCGAAAGAGGGTAGAAGGTGCGGCCGGTGTTACAAGTCATGTACATGTGCATGTCCTACGATGTATGCATTCCTATGTCCTAATCCTAACAATTGTGTGCAGATCGTCAAGTTTCATTTTCTTTTTCTTTAAAAAAATTGTTTTGCTTTTCTTTAGTTGTTGTGCCAGTCAAAAGAAGTCTTGACTACTTGAGGCTTCCTGCAGCTTCGTTCATTATGCCGTTCCGCTTTAATCCATCCCTATGTGTCAAAGCGAAAACCCATTGCAGCGCCGATCCAGAGGTCGACCCAAGGGCCCTTGCCTTACATGCGCCACAGGTGCACAGGATGTTTGCATGCAGAAAAATATAGTCTATCAGATCAAGTGTAAGCTTTTAAGGAGTGTGCTGAGCCATACGTTCGCGAGACAGAGCGCTTCATGGAGATCCGGCTGGAGAAGCATAACGGCGAGGCACGCAGACAGGCACGGGACAAAATAAAGAAACAACAACAACAACAACAACAACAACAACAACAACAACAACAACAACAACAACAACAACAACAACAACAACAACAACAACAACAACAACAACAACAACAACAACAACAACAACAATAACCTACATCCGCCCTATTCTTGAGTATGCTTGCACTGTCCTCTCACCCCTCCCCGCAACCCTGAACGACCGGCTTGAGCGCATCCAATGGCGCGCTGCTCGCCTCTGTTTGCATCTCCCCCTCTTTGAACACAGAACCCACTCCGTGCTGCTGCACCGACTCAAATGGCCATCACTCAGCAGCCGCCGTACCCTCTCCCATATCCTTCTTGCACATAGCCTGCATCATAGATATGCACCACCACACCTTCTTGCAATTCACCTACCCCGAATACAACCCATTCGCACGCTCAGGCTCCCCCGAACCTTTGAGCTACCCACAACACGTACAAACCTGCTAAGAGACTCCCCCATCTATGCTTCTCTTGATCTCTTTAATAGCATCCCACTCAGCATCCGGCAAATCAACCCCAGACGAGATTTCAAAGCAAACATCCTACCACTTGTCATCTCTTCCGTATGTACTTGCTCACATTGCTCAGCACATCTATAGCTCCATTGCGCCCAGCCTACGTGATTAACTCCCAATTAGTATTGCCATCGCTACTGCCTCAGCAAGCAGCTAAACTTTGATCTCTCTGTATCTGATCCCCGTGCCTGTAATTATTTTTCTCTTATTGGCCACAGGCCATCGTGAGAATAAAAGAATTCAAACAACAACAACAACAACAACAACAACAACAACAACAACAACAACAACAACAACAACAACAACAACAACAACAACAACAACAACAACAACATTTATGCCCCACCACACCCCACCACATATACTCTCGATGCATACTGCTAGCAACGTGCAACCTTCGTATAATTTACGTCGCTCTCGTACTTGGCACTTGCCAACTCCGCGGACTGACCGCTGTCTCCATTCTCCCCCGTACAAGGCCCTTCATTACTTTAATTGCTTGCCCACCCAGCTTAGCGAAATCCCTTCTCGTACTCCCTTCAAATCCGAGATATCCCTACTGTTGCACAACTCTGTATGCTCGTGTAGCGACCACCCCTGCCCGTACACTTAAGTAGTCATTAACCCCGAGGCCCTGCCACCCAATCCTTCCTCACTCTTTCTCCTTTCTTACACTATTATCTCTTATTGGCCACTGGCTATCGTGAGAATAAAGATTTGAAAAAACAACAACAACAACAACAACAACAACAACAACAACAACACGCCCTGGGGTGATCACTACCGCACCAAGCATCCCGATGCCACCCTCGTATGCGGACAAAGTGCATTTGCAGCTGTTGC